GTAGCTGTGGTTTGAAATCAATAGTCTGCGTCAAACCGTGTAACTCATCTTTGACGTCATAAACAAATAATGCTTATGACCATCTTAAAGGTAAATACATAGACCAATATTAGTATGACCTTTAATAGAAGGAAGGTTTAAGCTTAGTCTTTAATGAGAATTGTTGAGAAAACCAATGGAACAATCAAATCCTTAATACATGTTCATGTAAGAAAAATTTCAAATTCCGGATGTTAATAAATCTGGTGGAAAACAATGAAGGTTAAATAAAAACAAATGTACTAACTCAGATGATAACAGAGAATTGAATGGTCCAGCAGAGAAAAAAATAGGCTTGGATAATTTTGGCAATACGCCATTGAAGAAAAGAAGCTGTCCTTGAAATCTGATTTAGGTTCCCCTCCTGGACTTGAAGACTCCACAATCAGATTTCGGATGTGTCCAGCTTTTAGATCCAAGTTTTCAACTAAATTCTACTTGAACTGAATCTTATACTTTAGATAGAATTCTTACCAAGAGAAGTTCATATTTCAAATCTGTTATTCATCTAAAGATGATCTTTTCAGGTCATTTGCAGCATGTGGTGACAGCTCAAAGGAAATTTTAACCAGAAGGATGCTGCAGCAGAGCCTGGCTCAGCAGGGCCGTGCAGAGACCTTTGGAAGGGTTAAAAAGGGGCACATTGAACAAGATCTTAAAACACCGTACATAGCAACAACCCATATTAATCAAGAATTTAAATGGATCCTACTATATCATTGCCATCATGTGGGGACTGCAAAGTGAATGTAGTATATTTTCCCCAATAGGTATTTCTGCTCTTGACAGTCCTGGAGGGCTGAGTTGATCTGAGACTGTAGCTGTTAAACAGAACATCAGAGAGAAGGTCGCCGGTTTTGAAGTTATGAAATAAGCAAATTTGCTGCCATTTTAGTAATTAAGCCCTATATCTATTTATAACCTCTCCAACAACTTGGCTGCAGACTGCTTTATAGATCAAAATATCTCAAAGGGGTTAACTCTATATAATTTTTTGATGTTAAGATCTAGAATTGATGTTAGATCTAGAATTGTAAGACTGGGACATCAAGGCAAAGAAAACTCAGTAGCTGCTGGTAGGGGCCATTCAGGGGGCCCTTCCAGACATCCAGGGGCCCCTAGAAATGGTTGAATTGTAACACAGACCGGAAGGGTTTCGGGGAAAAGGGGTTCTGTCGAAGGCCCCATTTACCTTGGGCCGGCCCTGCATGAACAGCCGCTGCGATGCGCATCTCTGAATCGGCCTGGAATCCCCCAGTGGCCCCTATGCCAGTCTGCGGATGCTTTGGGGACATTTTGATTCATTTAATTGTGGCATGTTTGGCTTTATGCTGCGGTTTAATTATTGCTTCAGTATTTTTTCGTTGATGTTTGCTTTGTGAACTCCAATTGGTATGGGCCGAATCTTCCTTTAACACTTGAAGTTCTGCAATAACTTCTATTTACAGCTGCTCACCTCCAGCCCAGATCCCGTTAGCAGCAGTTTTAACCCGCCTGGTAGTAACGTTAAGGAGAAGCAGAGGGAACAGGTGGTACCGGGGCTTGGAGGTGTGTCGCGACTCGCGGTGACAGTTGCAGTATCGTGTCTTATATCAGGATGTCTGATATAAAGACAGACATTCTTTATATCAGTCGGTGGGACCGACTCAGACTACCTGTAGCAAACCGGGCATTTAAAAGGTGTTGGTACTTATAATCTTATCTACCAATCTGAGATTGAAGAACTGTTATTAAATTGAAGGTCCAGCATGAAATTTACAGAAGAACCATGTTTATGTGAAACAAAAATTTATTTTTGAGGAAGGATGCTGCAGCATCTTTCCTTATAAATGTGAGAGATTTCTGACTCAGGGCAGACTTTACACCCTCCCCCCCTCTACACACACACACACACACACACACACACACACACACACACACACACACACACACACACACACACACACACACACACACACACACGCACACACACACATAGAGACACAGAGAGAGAGAGAGAGAGAGAGAGAGAGAGGGGGGGAGAGAGAGAGCAGGCAGCTGAAAGTGTTAGGAATCTTCCTCAGACCTCTCCCACGGCACAGCATGTTGGCTCTTGCCAGACGATTCTGCAACTTAATTTTTCACACACTGCGTTGAGCTGAATAAGAGAAGGCTTGTTAAAGTTTTGAAGAGGTTAGTTTGCGGTTACAGAGGAAGTGCAGTGGAATCCGGAAAGGGTTTTTTTTTTTTGCATGAAAATGACTTGGCATCCATCATTTCAAGGTTAGAGACAGTCATCATGATGTTCCAATGCATGTTGTTAGAACGCGTTTTTCTGGGAACAGATCGTGAAAGAAGCTAGTTGGCGTTTTTTTGTGTGCAAAATTCCGTCCCAGAGATGAAAGAGAAATCTAAAAACGCCGCAAAGACGCGGAGAGAAAGAGAGAATGGGGAGTTTTATGAGCTGGCAAAACTGCTTCCTCTGCCGGCGGCCATCACCTCCCAACTGGACAAGGCCTCCATCATCCGGCTGACCAGCAGCTACTTGAGGATGAGAGCTTTCTTCACAGAAGGTAAGAGATTTTTGCCAATTCAAGAACTATAGAAGGCCTTACAGTTAAAGTCAGTTCAAAGCATGTGGTATATATTCTTTCTCCCAAAAAATCTCGAAACTATAATAATAATAATAATAATAATAATAATAATAATAATAATAATAATTTTACCCTAACCCTTACTATTATTGTTAATATTAATGTTAATTATTTAAGTTTATAACTATATCTCGCCCGTTGATAGCTGGAGATAGGCACCGGCACTCCTCCCGAACCCAATGGGATAAGGGTGTAAGAAAATGCAGCAAGAATCTAGAAGGTCTTGGGTTTGAGTCTCTTAAAGACATTATTTAGCTCGGTGCTATTCTAGAGAATAAAAAAGTTTCTGCATATTTATTCTGGAGTCTGGATCATATCATATGTAGCAGCCCAATCAGCTGATGGGCATTCATAAACTCAGTGGGAATGTGAATATTCACAGTAGGCAGTTCAGTGTTTGGAATGAAGATACATTACCTAATGGTCACATGTCCAGACTTGCACTATCCAATTAAATCCATATTAAGTGATTAATGAAGCAGTTTCTTTTTTAGAAGTTCTGGTCCAAAGACAATGACTACTGCCTTGTCAGAATTTACAAGAGATTTATGGAATAATTTTTCAGTATGTTTACAGAAGCAATTTTCTAAACCTTAAAAATTTATATCATTTGTATTTGCATTTTTATATATACATATAGATTTACCGTTCATTTCTGAAGTCTATTCGATTTTGAAGCCTGGAATTGTATAATCCATTTTTGTATATTACTGATCTGTACCTTTACATCATAAATGGAGCCTTCTTTATTATTTCAAGGTCAAGGACTAGCTTACAGAACTCCCTCATATTCACTTCTTCACCCCAAACAGAAAATCCCCTTCATTCTTTATTTTAATAATCCATTCAGCAACAGTTGCTGAACTTATTTCATCGGCTGGTTCATAGGTGTGGTCAGTTGAAAAGTGTGTGATTTCAAAGGCAAATTAAAAGACTGAGATGGTCTTTGTGTTTAAAGTAGAGAAATTTGGTCAGTGCTTAGCAAATCTGGCCATGCAAGTCTGGGATGCTGTTACATTAACAGATTGAGAGCTTTTATTTGTGGAGAATGTTAACAATAAACCTGCACAATATTATAATAGTGGATGTACTGGTAGCAAAAAAACTGCTTGGACAACAGTAGATATTAGCTATTTAGCTGTATCAGATATCAAAATTCTCAATGCCAGTAATGTATTTGATAACACTTGTTTATGTTTATGTATCTATACATATTATACACAGGTACATATATAATTTGAAATATCTTTACATCTTTGTGTCCATCATGTAGGTATGAGCGGATGGAGCAATTTGCCAAGTTTGGATCTGAACATCTTGACCAAAGACCTGAGCTCCCACCTTTTACAAGTAAGTACATTGTCTTTTACTTTCTCCTGCTGTTGTTTGAATATGACATGTTGTAGTGTTTTGAATTAAAGTAATGCTTTGTACTCAGTTAGTTTTAATGCTTTCCATAGGCTGCGTATATCTTTTCTAACAGAAGATAAACATCTATTATTAAGTTGAACTAAGCTGTCAAGTTTGAAAAAAATGAATTTAACCTTTGCTCTACTTGTCATCCCAAGGATCAGGTATAAAACCTAAGGGAAACTTCTCCAGACTGTTGCACCTTGACTGTAGAATGAGCTATCTTTGTTTTTATGTTATCTTCAAAATCTTTATTCATTTAAATAGCAGTTGAAGACATTCTTATTTAAGTCACTCTCTTTGCCTTTAATTTACGTTTTGCTCAATCATGATTGGATCTTTGTGAAGAACTGTGATTTTTATATGTGAAAATTTTAACTGTGAAAAAGGTTTGCAGCAAAATGCTGGAAAAGTGCATTTGGGTTATGCAATGATCAAAGCACCCTGCAAACCCATTTCTGAATGGCTCAGAAAAAGAGAAGGCATTCAGACTTAAATTTGATTGAGGTGCTGTGGTAGAACTGCAAACTGGTAATGCATACTTCAAAACTAACAATGTGGTTGAATTAAAGCAATTCTGCAAAGAAAGTGGACCAAAATTCCCCCACACCAATGACAGTTATCCCAAACAGCAGATGACGGTTGTTGAAAGTTTAGGAGGCAATTATTTTTCTCACAAGGTGGTTCAGGTCATCATTTAATTTTCTTCCCGTGAAAATTAAATGATGATTTGAAACTTGCTTATTTTATCTGCATAGCTATGTTTTTCTGGAATTAAAATGCATGTGATGATTTGAAACAAAAAACTTGGGAAAAAAGCAAAAACTGCAGACATCTCTTTCTCACAATACGAATAGGATTACATTTAAGTGAAAACTGCTGTATGATATAGTAGGCTTTCATGGGTAGAGACTTTATTACCAAGGTACAAATCGGTAAACATTTTACTATCTACTTGTGATAAAAAAAAGCCCTGTCAACAGTGTGTTGCCATGACTTTCCCCAGGTTATTCACCATCTGATTGTTTCAAAATGTGACCAGTGTCCCATAACTTTCAAAATGCAAACATTCCCGCATTAATGATGGCTTCTATTGCTGCTAAGTTCTGTGCATGAGTCATTACATTTTGGGGTAATGTTTTTGATTACAGAAATAGGAACCAATATCTGTGCCTTTGAAACACAATATTAGCTCATGATTACTGTGCTGCACTGTGGGACTATTGACTTAAATGTAATTCCATATATACACAGCGTATAAGCTATGTTCATACAGATATTCTAAAATGCTGTAGAACCTTTTGCTTTGACAGGTGATAAGTACTTTCTCAAAAGCAAAACTATAAATCTTTCTTGCTGATGGAAAATGGCACAGATCTTGTCATTGTGCTTTTCAGACGCTAGATGGCTTTCTGTTTGTTGTTGCATCTGATGGGAAAATCATGTACATCTCCGAAACAGCATCTGTCCACCTCGGCTTGTCCCAGGTAGGACCCTAGCTCAGATCTGTGGATTTTTTCTTGTATGATACAATTCATTCAATTACTTTAAAAAAAACAACAAAAAAACTGTTTTTTGCCAGGTTTGCCAGGTTTGTCCCATTGAGATTGATGGGACAAGCTACTACAATATTTATAAGGATTACTTCGAGTAGCTTACATTTTGTGTCTGTAAGCACTTGATCTGTTAGTGTTTAGTTGTGACAATGAACACTACACAGCCTAGAAGAAATACTAACTGCTGCAAATATGCATGTTGCAGGTTGAGCTAACAGGAAACAGTATATTTGAATACATCCACCCATCAGACCATGACGAGATGACAACAGTACTAAGTTTTCAACAGCCACCTCACCATCACTTCTGTCCAGGTACCTCAAGCTCTCACAATTTAGGTTGTTCTAAAGTGTTTTTAATGTTCTCATTTTAATGTGTATAATAATTCAAGATATTACAACACTTAAACTAGATGAGAGAAATCAAAATGGAAAATCCTTTCAATCTGCTGAGTGTGGGGCGACATACCTGTGACAACATGTGACTCCCTTTGGTTTCTATGCTTCAGAATACGAAGTTGAACGATCCTTCTTTTTGAGGATGAAATGTGTCCTTGCCAAAAGGAATGCAGGATTGACATGTGGGGGCTATAAGGTATGTGCAGCATGTTTTGTTTTATTCTAATTTACGATTTCTCACAGCACTGATAACTTCAATATTATCTAGAGCTCTAACCTGTAAACTGTGCATAAAGCTCAGGGAACCTAAAAATCCCATGGCAAAAGAGGAGAGACACCAGTTTCAACACAACCAATAAAAGTATTTTTTTTTTAATCAAATGAAATTCAGTTTGTATGATGTGTTTTTCACACACCCTAATCAGTTTGTCATGTTCAGATTTTTAAAAGTTGAGTATGCAAATGTTGTATGTCCAGAAAAGCAGAAGAAACTAAACAAAAAGCTGCACTATCTGTGCAGGTTTTTAACCCTTTCATACAAAAGGGTTAAAATAAAGAGGGATTCTGTAAGCAAGCAACCATGTTCAGGCAGCCTGGGAACACTGAATCCAGAACCCTAAAGTGAACTTAACCTGCTTCAGGTTAAGTTCTATGGTGTCAAATTTATGTCATGAATCCACCACAAAAATGTATTACACTTCTCGCGAGCACAATTCAGTTACCACAAGGTTGTTATAGTAATAAAACTAGTTAATAGTTAATAACTATTGCCTATTACTTTCAAATTGTGATTTTATTGGTTGTTATGTAATAAACACTATAAGATCTGTAATACAATGTGACTGCATTTACTTCACATGTTTTCGCATCCACCTGAATAATATGTAATTGCGCCACTGACGCTAACATCCCAGAATGCCTGCGACTCCCACAACTGTGCCACAAGATGCCAAGGATCAATCTGAATGTGGATCATGTAGTTCGTAGTGAATTAAAATTGATGCCTCCATTGCACTGGGGAGTGTAATACATGATCGTGGTGCACTTTTGACGTAAATTTGATACCATAAAATCCAAACATCCTACTTCCTTGCTATGTTATGGATGGGAACATGGGTGGGCTGTGAGTGTGTTGGTTGACACTACGATGATGTCATTTGACCTTTAGGTGTCCAGTTTCTCTGAAATCTCTTGGCATAATGGTTTGATGCAAGTTGCCCCATTGACACTGTATGTGCTCTTACGCCATAATTGATAAAAAGATTTGGATCTCAAGATTTGACCATGGAATTATGGATTTGCTACCACTATGGTTTCGTCGCAGATTCTACCAATCACATCACTTCCTTGCATGTATGGCTTGACCCAGCCAAAAAAAAAACAAAAAAAAAGGAGAAGAAAAAGGGGAGAAACCATGCAGGATCTGCAAATGGAGACTCTGGCTGGGGATGACTGGGAAAAACCTGTCAGCCATGCCACATCTGTGGAGAAGTTAAAACTCCTCTGCATGAAGCTGATGCTCACCTGCAATCTGGAGCATTACTCATATTTGTGTGTGTATATATACTGTGTGAAAGTATATACATATATATATCAGTAACGTGCGGTCAGGGTAGGCAGAGCCTCACCTGTCATCATGGAAGAATAGTAATAAAATCATTTATATTGCTATT